AAGAGAAAACTGTCCTATTGGTCGGGTGGGAAAAGAAGTGACAGGCAGGGCAGACAAGTGTCCTCTCTTGGGCATCTTCTCCAGTGCAGCATCTGGTTCTCTCCTGCATAACACTTTTCCCATATTAACTCTATTAACTATAGTTTTTCATACAGACCTTCCCAAACTTTTTATGGGCTCTTCCTGCTTATGATGTTATTAGTGATAATTGGAGCACACTTTGGTCAGTGGATGGTGTTGCATGCTAATTGGTTGTTGAGATGTGTCCAAAGATATTATTGGGTCCCTCTAATGTAAATCAAAAGCTACAATCAGGAGTAGGAGAAGAGGAGAAACAAAGTGTGATTCTCGCACCAGTGTCAGTCACTTCCTCTGGGAACCTACCATAACAATGCTCTGAGGGTTGGCAGGTGCCAAGTGGTGAGCATAACAAGGTGGTGAGCATGAGAACAGGAAAGGAAACATACTGCCCCAGAGACTCTGGAAGGCACTACTGGAGCAGCTGGGTGAAAGGGCAAGATGGGCAGACTGCGGTGTTGCAGGTGAAAGCCTTTACCTATATAAAAGGCAAAGGTAGGGAAGGCACAGTGCAGCAGTGCAGATCCACAATCCAGTATGGAAGAGGGATTTTTAATCTGGGTTTCACACAGCACTTGTGGCTACTCTGAGCCTTGAGCCATCAAATAACAGGAGGCCATCACTCCGCTTCTTACTGCATTGTATAGAAGGACTGGCTTAGGCACCTTTCTTCCTGTCACTGTTAGACACCAAGCTGCTTTGTCAGTATTGCTGAAAGATAAGGATTGTTGTGCATACTAATGAAGCTGTCTTGCTTTTGAGACCCAGACTAGTAAGTCTTCACCAAGAGCTATCTTGGGTGCCTCTGTTGTGAGCATCATTGTGTGGTATGTGAACTTTATCTCTTGGCTGATATTTTGTTCTGGACAGCTTAGGTTTTGCTGAGCACCGTTCTGTGGATCCTGCCTGCTTCTAGCTCAGTAACTCCCTTTATTTATTATCTGGAGCTCTGAGACTCTGGAGTCTGTTAGATAGCCTAAGTCAACCTTAGAAAATTCCTATACCTAGTAACACTGCACTGATCTTGTAGTAATGATTCAAATGGTCCTTTCGGTTTCTTTTAGCGCTTTTGTAACTGTCTAGTACTTCTGACAAAGATTTTTTGCAGTTTACAGTGCCTAATGTTTAGGACTAAGCTATGAGAGAGGAATCAGTCTAATTCCAAAGGGATCAAGAGATCCCTTTTGGATCTTCTGGAAACTTTTACACAAGGCAGTGTGTCTTTTTTTGTTGTTGTTTGTTCCTTTTCAGCTCATTTAGGCTTTGTGCCAGTTTTTAATAACAATTTTTAACATAAAATCTAAAAACTCTTTGCAAAGGTGATCGCTATCACTGACCACAGTGACTGGGATAGTCACTTTCCTACCTGTAAAATCAGTATTTATGCAGACGTCTCTACTGTCTTCCAGACTGTGCAGTTGTTCAACATTAGTTAAAGTATAGGTACAGATTCCTTAGTTATACCACTTTCTGCGCAGAAAAGAAGTTAAGAGGAAGAAGGGAAAAAATACCCACTTTCTAACACTTTATAAGCCATGGACCTAATAAGAAGTATACTGATAAGAAATTGTTTATGATTTTGCCCAGAGAAATTTTAGACTGACGTAAGTCTTAAAATGAAAGTCAGTCTAACTATTGAGTCTAAATGAAATACTGATTTTTTTTTTAATTTTTACTTTATTTATATTAAAATATTGTACATTTTAATATGAATATTTAGACATTCCTTACATCTGTGTGCCCTGATACGTAACTCAGTTATCCCCAGTGCTAACTGTTGTAAGGGGCATGTACAGTGCCTTTCCTCAGATATAATACCTCTTTTTATTCAATAATAATAAAAAATATATTTACATAGGTATCTGATTTTTATTTTTCCTCTTCTTCTGTTGATGTACATCTAAGCACAAAAGGTGACAGAATAATTGAAAAATCCAGATAGATAGACACCTCTCCATTATCCTCTGTTCGTCTCACCAGCTTAAAGAGCTGTAATAGCTTATATATGAAAGTTGTCCCTTTTAGAAAATACAGAGGATATCCCTCACTGTGTGTCTGTAGTATGCTTAAGATCATGAGCTAGATGCGAAAGAGTTCTATGATGGAAGCAGTAACAAAAATAGTCAAATAGAGTTTGCTTGTTTCAGCCATCATGGTAGTTTTGTGGATAATTCAAGGATAATTAGTTGATACGATGTTTTGTTTAACAGGTTCTGCTTTAGATTTGGATTTTAATGATGTGAACGTTGCATCCATAGATAGAGAATTAGAAGATCAAGAAGGCAGTGACCTTGGATTAGCAAGTAAGAGGTCCAATTTATAAAATTACACTAATTTAAAATATCTGTCTTTCTTACCTTTCTAAACTTTTACTCATCAAAATAGTTACAGACAGCAAAGACTTTGAAGAAAAATCCTCAATTTTGTTCCAGCTGTTTAACTTTGTGTAATGGGATGGCACCTCTATCATCCTGTCTGTATTTTGCAAAGGTTCAGTCTATTAAGCATTTTGGGTCGTTTTTTTTTAACATGCTTAATGACTTGGCCCATGGGCATAATAGTTGATGGAAGGACTTACATGGATTTACAGAAGGCATTATGCTTGAGCTTGACTGCCTGCATGTTGAGTGCTGCAAGTGTGTGACAGCAGGCAGTATGTGCTACAGGGACTAACAATTACTTCTATGGTGTTTGCTGAGAGGGGGAGTGGGAACAATTCTTGAGGAGAAGGAGCTAACAACCTTTAGGGCTTTAATACTTGCAAGTCTTAGGGACTTAATCTCTCTACGAATCTAACCTAGAAGGAGCAATTTAGTTGAAGGTCTGTTTGGAAATAGTCAGCCATTTGGCCTCTTCTAGGAAAGGAGAGGAGAGGAAAACATAGCAAAGGAGAGCAGTGCAGGGAAGGGACAGCAGGGTGGAAACTGAGGAATTATAATTTCGTTATCATACTCCTTTCAGAGCCATAAGCAAGAGAACAGACACGGTTTTATACTACTTCAATTTACTTTCTGCTGCCTGTTTTGCTAGCTTTTCTTTGAAGGAGGTAAGCGGTGATTATTAAGTTGTTTGTGCATATGTGTTAAGCTTCCACTTGCACAAACAGAACTATATTCTTGGGTGGCAAACGTATTCCTCCCATGTTCCTCTTGCCCTGTGGCTATAGACGCAAAGGGTAAAATAACTATAGCTATAGTTTATTATTGCTGCCTGTTGCTCCGAGAAGAAAAGCTTGCACTTGGCGTCTCTATACATTATACAATTTTTCTTCCTTTAAGATAATTATTATATCTTTAGTCACCAGCTTTAACAAATATACAAATATATTTAATGTTGTTGGAATATGTAAGCTGTCATTGGGACCGCAGTGGATAGGACAGTACCCAAGTATTACAGATTCAAGACTTTGTCCAAGGCATGGAAATCGTTTTGACCCAAGTGAACATCATGTGCCCTCACTCCTTTAGGAGAGCTGTCCCGGTTTGGGCTAAATCAGAGGGGTTAATAGAGAGCGTCTGTCATTTGTTAGTGGCCGGCCCAGCCTCAAACCGTGACAGAGAGCATATATTATAAGCAACTGTAAGTTGCTTCTTTTCACAAATAACACAGATACCCAAAGTGATTCTGCTTCAAACTTTTCCTCCTCCAAGTGCTTCCTTTGCAGTGAAAGGGGACAGTTCTAGGCAAGATCACTGATTTTATCACCCCAGTAGTTTGTGGATACATGAGGCTTCAGAACAAACAGAGAATTCAGGGATGTCACTTGGTTTGAAATGGACTTTTTCACTTCGTCAGATCACTCATTTGGTGGTGGACAGAAGATGCCTCACGTAAAGTGACTGGTGACATGCTTCTGTCTTTAGATCTGAGCAGAGCATTTGGGGAGGCAGTTTACAGTTCACATTTGGTGGTGTTGGTGTTTTGGCATCAAGCAGATCTAGGCAGACTGTAGCAGTGGCTTCATTATTCATAGCAAGAGCTAGAAGAAACCAGTGCTGGATCACGCTGATTAAGAAGTTTCTTACACCAGATACTTACATCTCAGATCTTAACAACAGTGATACAAGCTCTGGTGCCCCACTCACCTTAACTGTGTTTTCTCCCAAGGTGGATCTTTGTTACTAGAGGCTGTATTTGTAGTACCCATATACTTCAGGTTATTAGGGGATCCATACAGAATGATGCAAAATGTTACAGTCTGAATAGGTAGCCATCTAGTTTTATGTAGATTCTCATCAATAATATTAGTGGGAATATCTTCAGAGCTTTTAGGGGTTTATATTTATTTTGGTTGATTGACTTCTTACAATTTTCTGTCCAGTGATGATGCCAACAGGTCGTTCCTCCACCAGAACAGTTTATATGTTATCTGTTTGCTAGAATGAAGGTTGGACTCGATGATCTTAAAGGATCTTCCAACCAAAACTGTTCTATGATTCTATGATTCTAGTGACATTTTCCATTATTGTTCATGATATTCCCCTTCATACAGACCTGGAAAGAAACTGATAAGGTATGCAAATTCAAATTTACTTCTCTGCTAGTGATGTCAGGCTTAACAATTCTCCTGATGCTATAGTTTGTTTGACTGGTATAGAAAATACTGTAACCAATTTTATTTGTATGTGGAGGATAGTTCATAGAGTGTAATAGGTTGACCTTGGTGGGTACCCAGACACCCATCCAGCTGCTCTCTCACTCCCCCTCCTCAACAGGACAGGGGGAGAAAATAAGATGAAAAAGCTCATGGGTCAAGATAAAGACAGAGAGATCACTTACCAGTTACTGTCATGAGCAAAAGACACTTGTTTTGGGGAAAATTCATTTATTGCCAATTAAAATAGAGCTGGATGGTGAGAAACAAGAGAAAAACTAAAACACCCCTCTGACACCTTTTTTTTTTAGGCTAGACTTCATTCCCAACTCTTCTACTTCTCCCTTCCTGTCCCAAGCGGCACAGGGCAATGGGGGGTAGCAGTCAGTTCATAACAGTTCCTCTCCGCTGCTCTTTCCACCTCACACTTGTCCCTGCTCCAGCACGGGTCCTCTCCATGGGCAGCAGTTCCTGGCAGGAGAACCTGCGCCAGCATGAGCTCTCAAAGGACTGTGGTTCCTTCAGGCAATACCCATCTGCTCTGACCTGGTCCTGTCCACAGGCTGCAGGGAAATTCCTGCTTGTACTGTAGTCTTTTCCATGGAGTGCGGGGAAATCTCTGCTCCACTGTGATCTCTTCCAAACCTTCCGTGGGCTGCAGGGAAATCTCTGCTCCAGGGAAATCTCTGCTTGGGCAACTGAAGCACCTCCTCCTCTTCGTTCGTTCACAGGCCTGTTTCTCACACCTTTTGTTCCCTCCTCCTCTGCAGGTGTGCTGGTTTTTTGCCTTTTCTTAAGTATGTTCTCCCAGAGGCACCATCAGTGTGGCGGAAGGGCGCAGCTGTGTTCTGTGGCAGGTCCACTGGAGCCGACTGTGTCTGGCATGGGGCAGCCCCTGACCGCTCCTGCAGCCCTGGCCCCCTGCTACTAAAATCTTGCCCCGTAAGCTCAAAACATAAGGCAGATTGCATTTGCCAGAATTCAGATGGGTTTGAAGACCACTTTAAGAACCAGAAAAGAGGTGATTCTTCTGCTGCCATTTCATACAGTATTTGTTTGAGGGCTTTACTTTGGCTCTTGATTTTTAAGATATTTCTTACTTGACCATATTTATTAACTAAACTCTCTTTACTTTGTGGCTTCTGTGCTCCTCTTGCAAAGAGCGATGTGCATTTATTGACTGATATATTATGGACATCTGTGGTTATATGTCTATCCTGTATCTTCCTCATATAGTTATTCATGAGGCTGACTGTGGTAACATTTGCTGAGTATTTCGAGATGCTTTTTTTTGAAGGCGTTGTGGCAATGCACCTTGTAATGAGCATCCCTGTCTTTTTATTTTGAAATACTTCTAAAAGGAATGATGTTTTCTCTGATTACATTAATTCATCTGTTTGAAGCAAAACCAGAAAACCAGAATCACTACCTTTGCTTTAAGTGTAATCATTTGACTGCTATATATTTTTTTAAAGAAAATCTGATGTCATTTTTAGTTGCTATTCAAACATATTGATGAATAAAATCTTCACAGTAAATATTGAACTGTTTCCTGACTGGGAAAATGCACTGCGTCTGTGCATGTTTATTTAAGTAATTGCATGATTGAACATCCTTTTTTTAATACCTGGTTTTTGTTATTATCATTATTTTGGGAAATTATGAACCATGCATTTGTTTGACTAAATTATTAATAATTTTTACTTTGCTTCAAATTGGGCTTTCATAGAGAGTTAAGTCCATTTGACATTTGAAATTTACTGAACAAAAGTAGAAGTATGTAGAGGAAAGAAATTGAGCTATGTCTGATTATTATGCTGTGTATGATTTTCAAGGTATGTAGTCTCACTTAACTCTAGTTTATATATTAAAATAATCCTTTAACTTTCAGTCAGTTCCTCCACTTGCATTAGCTGTTGGCGATAAAAATGAGTGAAGTCGAATAACTTGATCTGAAAAGTGTTTTCTCTTTCTTCGTAGCTGCAGATGAGACCACTGCTGTGAAAAGCTACAAATTCTGTTTTCAGGCACTTGGAAAACTACTTTCAAGTGTTTGATTTAAAAAATATTTTTGCAGTAAGAGATAGATAAAGTTTTCTTTTTTAATGGAAGGTACTTGAGTATGTAATTTAATTTACATTTGATACATTTTTCAGAAAAATACTCGCAGAGAGCTGTGTACTCCTTTGGAACGAATCTTTTTCTTTCCCTCCCCTAATGCATACATAGGTCAAAGATTACTGGGAAGTTCAGCACCTGTCAATATTCCAGGTTCTCTTGTTCGTTCCTCATCTTTACATTCATCATCATCCCTTTCAACCTCTCCACTCAGTTCTCTTTCACAATCGCTGTCTCAGTCTTTTGTTTCATCCACTACGACTCCACACCATCAGCAGCCTCAGCCTTTGAAGACAGAACGTAGTATGTTAGGCACCTCAACCTCTTCTCACAACTCTTTAGGTAAGTAAGTTGATGACTGCACTTTGTGTATTGTAAGAGGGAACTCAATGATAGGTAAGAAATGTTCTGTTCAAGGCTTTGCATATTTCTTATGACTTAATCTGGACAACAAAGCCTAGCTATTGTAATTGATAACACTACTGATAATGGAGTTACCTATGTGGGAGAAGGTTCAAGGAGTCAACTTCTGTTCCTAGTGAAGGGAAAAAAAGAATTCTTGGAAGAGGAGAGATTTACAGAGGCATTTGAAAGGGGTAAAATATAGCAGTTGGCATTCAGGCAGCAGGAGTGCATTTTTGCTGCAGCATTTTGCTAAAGGAAAATACAAAATGGAGAAAGAGGAAGAATTAGAATCATGTATGAGCTGCTAGGAGCAAACTTTTTTGTATATAAATGAATTCCCACTCTTCCTTGTCCTTTTATGGACTACTATCTTTTATTAAAAGCAGCAAGAAAAAACCCATATGGTAAATCTGATGAATTGCTCTAAATTCTGTAAACATTTTGCAGACTGTCACATTTCTGAAGGCAGTGAAATAATGTTATGAGACTTGCAGAAAAAAGTATAATTTTTGCGAGTGTGGCACATCTATTTTGTTCTGCATGGGAAATGTTTTGCAGCAATGTATGCAGAATGATTATTTTTTCTGCCTTTGTTTTACAGGTTTAAATGGTGTTACAGGGAGCATTTGGGACTTTGTAACTGGGAATTTCTCTCCTAGTCCATCCCCAGTACTAAGCAGTGGCACTACCCCCTCAATAAGTTCAAACACCAGTGGGAACGAACTAACTCGAGTTAGGCAGGAACTTGACGATGCCAAGAGAAAACTAAAACAGTGGGAAGAATCTTGGCAACAAGTAAAACAGGTACACTAATTTATGGTAATGTTATTATTTTTTTTTTTAACAAAAAGCAGCTTTTACTGCTTTTCCTTTTTAGATATCTTCTTATCCTTGGACCCAGAGTTTTATTATAATCTGTCAAAGGAATGTTTTTTCCATCCTCAAAATGAGCTAGCGGCATAAAGGAAACAGCTTTTTAAGGGCAATTAATTTTCTGAATGTTGATCTGCCTCTCTAGACAGGGACACTTACAAGTATTCAGGATAGGGCTGAACAGCAACATGTCTTGATGTTTAAGAAGCTGAAGACATACATTCCCTCCCGTACCTCTTTCAGATGATAAGCACACAAAAAAAGTAGTCTTGCCAGTAGCCGTGGTTGTATAGGGTACCTGGGCAGTATCTGGCCATCTCAGCAGTCAAACTCAGGTTGGTTGTAACTGCCAGTCTAGTATGTTTTCTGTAGTCCTTTCCTTCCCTCATGTTGTTCTCTCTATGACAAGGAGCAGCTAAGTAGCTGTACTAAATTTTGATAGTTTTTGATGTCTCTCGACGTTAAATTACGAATTTAACATTTAAAATGTGTTCCATTTATAGAGCCCCAGAAGGGCTTCTGGCTGTTTACAGACAAGTGACAGTAACATACCTAAAAATTACATTAAGACAAAACAAGAAGAGTTGTTAATTAGAAGGTAGGATAAGTAGATAGAAGCATTAAATTGACAGTAATTGCATTGTTATGTCTAAAATTAGAGATTACCTGCATCTTTGAGGGCTTTTGAGTGTGCTCTTCTGTTGTTAATTTAAAAAATTTATATATCTTGGAAATTTCTTTCTCCCAGGCATGTGATGCATGGCAGAAAGAGGCTCAAGAAGCAAAAGAACGTGCTAACATTGCAGATGCGGACAAACAACTTGCTCTTCAGAAGAAGGAGGAAGTGGAAAATAAATTAAAAAAGCTGAAGGCGCAATTAGCTGCTTGTCTATCTACTGCATTACTTTATCTGAAAAACTATGGAGATGTAGAAAAGATATCCTTGCCAAAGCTTCGTTCCTTACAAAATCAGCTGCATTTAGATTTAGAAACAATAGATGAGGTGAGTTTCTTCATCTGCCTAACTATTTTTGAATAACTGAAACTGGCAGCTCAGTAACCTTCAATGACATATTTATGCCAGGTTTCATTTCAAAGAGCAACATCGCTCGCAGTGTTAAGTCTGTCTTTTCTAGAATAGAGGATGGTTCAGAGTTCTCAGCCGAATGGATTCTTCTAAGTTTTTGATCAGCTATCTGAACAAATGACAAGTGATTCATGAGAATTCTTGAGGTGATTAAAAAAAAGATACAAAGCCAGCTTTTACCCCCAACATTTTGGACACTACCTAAATAAATAAAAATAGTTGCCTTAAGTGAACGAAAATAGTTACATACGTTCCACTTGTTTAGAAGGTATGTGGTGAGGTTCTCTGCTAGGAGTTTGTGTAGTCAGAGACACCGGTACAGACTTGGAGCATAGAATAATTGACATTGGAAGGGACCTCTGGAGATCATCCATTCCAAACCCTTGCTTAAAGCAGGGTCAACTCGAGCAGGTTGCTCAGGGCCTTGCCTGGTAGTGCTTTGAGTATCTCCAAGGACTGATAGTCCAGCACCTCTGTGGGCAACCTTTTCCAGTGTTTTACCATCCTCACAGTAAGAACATTTTTTATTACATCTGTGTGGAATTTTCTGATGTATATATAGAATTTTCTGTATTTTAATTTGTGCTCGTTGCCTCTTTTCACTGGATACCACCAAGATGAGTCTGTCCCTATATATCTGTTTTACTCCCTCCCGTCAGGTATTTACACACACTAGTAAGATGCCATCTCTTCTCAAAGCTAAACCATCTCAGCTCTTTCAGCCTCTCCTTGTCAGATGCTTTACTCCCTTAATCACCTTAGTGGCATATTGCTGTATTTCACCTTCTCTCAAATCCAGACTCAGTTTCTGCCACAATTTAGGATGTTCTTTTGCTGGCAGATTGAGGACATTTCTCAAGGCTCTTAAAGATGGGAATATCAGGTGCCACTCCTCTGAGCACATCAAGGAAGGTAATAATGACCGTGCACTGCTCCAGGCACCATACTTCAAACCTTGCTGGGCACAACTTGGTTTCACATTGCTTTCTACCCTGCAATCTCAAAGGGCAGTGTCACCACACATGACACCAATTCTTGCTGTTTTGTTTAGACTGTGACGGGACTGCCCAGATTAAAAAAAAAAAAAAAAAAAAAAATCCCTTTCACTACTGGGACAGCCTGCCATACCTGTTTGAGTTCAGCACTGTCTTCTCTGTCTCAGTGCACCTCCTGTCCAGTGCCATCTGTATCAGTGTGAAATACAGCCTTGAAAAAAAGCCAGACTCTCTTTAGAAGAGTTTAAAATATAATTTGAGCCTTTGTCAATAAAGTAGGTGGACACGAATGAGACGTGCTAGTTTCCAGGCTCCTGTTAACAACTACATTTACAGGATTCTGGATGAGGGACTGCTGTTGTTTTTCTTTTAAGGGATTTTAAAGAGGAGCAAAAGAGTCTTGGGATCTCTTACCAAAAAATGCATCCATTACATCCTCAAATGGAAGTCATCTTGGCCAAGCTGGAGTGATCAGACCCATTACCACCTTTTGCATCTCCTCAGCTTCTCAGGTTTCATCTACTACTGTGGCCTCTTCTCACCTAGCTCTTCCTTCCAGGAGAAAGTTGCTGTCTTAGGCAGTGCCACAGATAGCGCTCTGGGTTCTTCTCTTACTCCGAACCGTGTCTTGCTCTTCAAAAATTAACATGGCTTTTAGATGCTTTTCACTTCGTCTTGTTCTTTAATAGGGTTGATATGCCTTATTGCCTGGAGACATTTATTTGCAGTTGTAACATCCTCCCCGAAGTCCGTATCAGTAGCTTTATGCAAAGTATCGCACATTTGGGATGCTTCCATTTTGTCCTAATGGGAACGTCTCCTATGGTGTGAAAAAATGTAACAGTGGTTTGAAATGGCAAAATGAGGGAGTATATGACAACGAAAAAGGCCTATTTCCTCTTTTCTTTTTTTTTGTTTTTTTGCTTGTTTGCATAACTCATCCCAATTATGCAGGAAAATTTCAGTCCAGAGGTTCAGTCCTAGATATTTTCTTTTTCAAAAGCACCTATACTCTTCCAGCTGCTACTTTAAAGGTTGCACATGCTCTGATCTTATGACCCTCGATTCAGCTATCTGTCATGCAAAAACGTCCTTCGTGTGGTTAAATTAGAAGTTTATTCAGGAGCGTAAAGCTGCTAGAACGCAACTGTATACTTTGGAATTGTTTTTACTGAGTGCAATAATCTTTTTACAGGTGATTTTTCAGCTTCAGTCAAAGAAGTGTATCATATGTCAGGAAGATGATCGTAGCATTATCCTGAATCCATGTCAACATTACGTACTTTGTGATCGCTGTGCAGCTGCACAAGAAGAATGTCCCTGCTGCAAGAAAAAAAATAATCTGTGGTAACATACAGACATAGTACTCCTATCGTGAATTAAATCATTTTATGTTTTCGTATTTTGTATAAGAATTATATCACTCATTAATCCATTTAATAGTGCTAGACTGATTTCTATTTTGATGTGACAAACTTAGTTGTTTTAAGATAGAGAATAAGGCTTGCTTACCTGTGCATATCAGCTTCAGTCATTTGATTGAGGTTCTGTAGTCTTGAGCTTCTTTCATTCCCCTCAATCCCTTTGCAGCCTTTTCTGACTTCCACTTATGTTCCTAGTGCACAAGCTCCTTAGGTTCATTTGCACTGTAATCACTTTGTATAAATCTTACCATAATGCCTGAGTGAAGTGTTTATACCTGTAATTTTCATTAATGAAGATGGATATGTAGATGCAGTAACTATACACTCAACAGTACAAATGGTCCCTTTGCTATGTCTGTTGTGTGTGGAACGCCAGGGCCAGTATTTTGGAATCGGTCTAACACTATGTTTACTTGGATGTTTGAAAAACTCTGATTAATATAAAAGCACTTTTTGATTATTGTGTTTTGTTAGAAGGTATGTTGTAAATTGCTTCAAGCTGCTTTCTAGGTCTTATGTTTATTTTTTGATATGCAATAATATGGTGTGTTATATGTGTACTGTGAATTTAAAATATTTCACATGGTTTTACTGTTAAATCACAATATGATTAAATGGAAATGACAACTTATCTAGTTTTTTTACAATTTATAAGTTAGCTGCATACTGTAGTATTTATAAATGTACCAGCGGAGACAAAAAACAGTGAGGCACACATGCTTTCATATTCAAAGACATGTTTTCGATTTTGTGAACAGATCAGTTTTAGTAAACAACTGCGCATTTGCCTATTTCGCTCAGTTTGGATGTTTGTAGTCTTCAAGTTTTTGTACGTCTCCTAACCTCTGTGGTACTCATCGGGAGCAGATATGATATGTATAATATTACCAAGTGCCTATGCCCAATATCCTATAAAATGGCAGAAGACATAAAAAAATAATTTCTATTGCTTAATTTTGTATTGAACAATTTGACAGTAACTAGAATATGTCTCTTGCTTTTATAAATATTTAAAAATACACTTTTTTCAGTAATGAAGCAATGTATGTTTGAAAGGAACTACAAAATTATTTAAGTATGTAATCAGGCAGTGGCACTTTGACACAGTGATTCTTTTAAAAAGTGGTAATATCCTTACTTCATCCTGGTAGTTGGGAACGTGCAGTTCAGGAGGAGAAGTTAATTGATTAGTGCATGTTAACACTGTATATTTTACTTTTCTTACATGGAATAATTGCCTGCATTACTCCTTTTTCTGTTAAATTCATGTATGACACTAGTACAACTTAGATTGAAATGACCTACTACTGTGTTATGTGATTTATATCTCCATATTACTGTATTCAGTACAAAAAGTGAGTTCATGCAGGCAGCAAAGAGTTTTAGTCTATTTAAAGTTCACTCATGCTAAAACAAAACCCAAGATGTCTACTAAAATTATTAAGGTCGAAGCAGAGCTTTTAGAACGGCATTAGCATTAAATAAAGGGTCCAAGCCAATAGTACTGAAATCATTATTTCCTTTGGGTTTCAGCTTTCTTTGTACAAAGGCTTGAGTTAGCAAAAAATCATTACACATTTTCAGTGAGAACAAAGTGTACAGACTTGTCGCTGCTTTCCTAAGACACGTCGATCTGCAGGAATATTGGAGACCTTTTGAGAGGGGAGAAGTAGGATAAAATATTAAATACATTTCTACTTGCTTCTGTTTGAAAATTTTGTCTGAAGATCACTTTAAAGACCAAAGTCGGGTTTAACAATGTGATTTTGTTGACTTTAACACAGCTTGTCTAAAACGTTTGTACTGAGAAAAGCATAAAATTGGACTGTATTTGCATTTTCAAACACAGTTTTCTGTCCTAAAATAAGATACTGCCATTTTAAAGGTGTAGTCAGCTTTGGACTTTTAGAAAAAGGAACTTGGATCACCAAGTTTGACTGTAAGTATTTATGTATTTTTTGCTTCTGTGCAGTCCATGACAAAGACTGATTTTTGAACCTTAACAGCATTTTGGGCTAAAGCAAACTTAGTTATGTAAGTTTTTTTTTTAAACAGTGGGCAAAATCAAAGAACTTTAAACAGTGGACAAATGTGTAATTATAGTTTGAAATTATGTTAGATATTTTTCAAACAAGCAGTTATTTTGGACACTGGTTTGCTGTATTTATCTACTGTGGAACAGTATTCTGCAACCATTGTGCTCACAAAAACATTTAGAATTATCTCAGTGAAAATTTTTGCATTGGTATTTTAAGAATAAATCAGCTTAGGCCACATTCCGCTACCTGTACGCAGCTATGTGACATTTGTTAGCCATGAGATACAGAACCATGGTTTTGTGCTGTCTTGTCAAAGTTTGTAGTTCTTCATGTGTATTTTAGTGCATTTGCCTATGTCCTAGGGCTATTTTTTGGTCCCTTTTTTTTGGTAGTAACAGGCAATTTTCCTAATCTCGCGACACCGATGAAAAAGGGATGTAAATAGCACTTGCAGTGTGAATCATCACATTGACATTCATAGTTTATACGTGTTGCATTTTTAGAGGAAATTAACTAATATGTTTAGTCTGTTGCTTTTTAAAGTTGTATGTTTTGTGTTTTACAATGATGAATCTTGAAAATAATGATGTGTGTCCTATAGTAATATCAGTACTGAAAATTTTGTAGGTGTTCTCTATAAGTTTCTTTGGTGCTAAATTACAGACGCATTTAAAAACTATCAACAAACCATTTTTGTGGAGAAGGAAAAAACACATACCAAAGAAACATACCTATGTGTGAAATTCTCAGACTGGGCAGCTTTCTGTAATTATCGATGAATCCTTAGGTAATCACTTGAACCATACATCATCATACATTGCAGTCATATGAAAAAATAATACATAAATTATTTTTGGTAGAAATTACAAGCAAAGTTTTTCTGTATCTTATTAAAGCAAGTCAACTGCAAATACAAATAAATATGTACTTTTACACCAGTACTTTAAAATGGAAGATAATAAAATACATGCAGTTGACTAGGGAGAACTATTTGGAAGTCAGAAGTGAAACCTGACCTTTGTTAGTATTCGTCCTTGTACTATATATACTATCTAGAAACCGGATACATTAAAGTTATATTTTAGAGAAACTACACTAAGGTAATTTGCTGAATTCACAAAATATATAAAGGCAAACTAAGTACATTTTCAAGATTCGTTCTGGTATTTTACAAAGTTCTGTGTTAATTTATATACAAATATAATTTTTAATGTGAATGCCATTATGTTATCGCAATTATTTTAGCCTGGGGAATAATAGATTAAAATTGTCATTTCTCAGGGGTTTCACAGTTAGGAGCTGTAATTTAACCGGAAGTATGCTAATTACAGGTAGATCCCAAGCTGCATGTTATAGGCTTATTATTAGTCTTCTATGAATAGGAGATTATTAAAGACATACTAGTTTTGTTCTATATTGCCATTCAGAGTATCCTAGTATTAAATATAGGTAGTAGTAGTATTACTGTCACACTAGGCTTGTGTAACCGTGGTCATCATCAGACCCTAAATAAATACAGAATTTTTACTCATGTTAATTTATGGAAGCCGATAATGTTTTGAGTGTACAGACAGAAATGATTTTGTGAATGAAATTGTTCTTAATACAAAACATATAATGCACACTCATTTACTGGTAGTGAACTCTTTAAAATTGTTAACACTTGTTAAAACTTTTTTACACTATAGCGTTTATGCAATGGTTTACAGAAGTCATGGAATTATTTTTATTACCAACATGGAAATAAAATTTTGTTCTTTATTTCTGAGCTATGCTGTGTTTAGAGACTCAAAAATTTACAGGTGTTTTCCTCTGCAATATGTGGCATTCCTAATCATTTCAGGGTTTCAACCGCTGGGATAGGTGTTTACTGTTAGTGGAGAAAGAGGCCTAACTGAGACAAATCAATCCGGCAGAAGGGTCTACCAGACAGAGGCTGTCAGTAGTTAAAACATAATCACTTTTCCATCCATTCTTCTCTGTACCATGTGCCCCAAGCGCACACAAAGCGTCCCGCTGGGCTGGGGCGGTCACTGTCAGTCTGCACCGGCGCCTCGTCCCTGGCGGCGGCAACGGCGGTCGGAGGCCCTCCGCAGAGTGCGGGAGCCGCGCCC